TTTTTGGTTTTTCTCCGGTACCGGGAACCGAACTCACGACCTTGCGCTTGCCAGGCAGGCGCTTTTGCCACTGAGCTAAATCCCCAGCCCCCTACTGTGTTTTTTTAAAGAAGCAGTTATTTTCAATTACCCGTAGTAAAATGACCCCCCAAAATTTGTTTGGCTCAGACTCCACATTCCCTCCCGAAAATATGCTCGTTCGACAAAAGGAAGATGTCTGGATGTGGTTTTAATAGTGTGAAAGTATTTCTGAATACTAACCAGTTCCTGTGGTGTTTTCACCCTAGGGTTTGGTAATCGCTGTGGAAAACCCAAAGGACCAAGAGATCCACCTTCAGAATGGACATGATTCAGGGAGCTAGGAGACTTTCAGTCATACTGGAAAATTCAAGTGCCACTGAATGCGAGATTTATAGTATTCCATCTTTAAAATGTGGGACTAACAGCAGTGTAGATTGTTACCTTAATCTTTTTCTTTTTTTTTTTTTTTCCTTTCTGGGACCATCTACCTGCCTTATACTACACACACACTTAGGAAAAAGTGTTACATACGGTTTATTTTGTAATTTCAAGTATTATTGCCTTAATGTCTCTTAACCCTGTTACACGCTGCTTGTAGACCTGTTAATACAGTAATAATTTTACGATAAAATTGAGTTTAAGGACTACTTTTTTGCTGTTTTATCATGTATGCATTATTTTGTATATGTACAGGGCAAGTAGGTATATAATTTGATAAAGTTGCAGTCATAAAATAATATTAACAGAAGATGTAAGAAATTTCTGCATGATCTAAATCTTTGTGTACCTTATTTGTAAATTATTTGCCCTGAAGTTTTAGAAAATAGTTTTGAATTTTAAAATTGCTGGATTCATGCAGCCAGCATTGCAGCTTACCAGAGATCAAAGATTGTAATAATAATACATTTTGTAAATTGTAAGCAAAAAGTTATTTTTATATTATATACCGTCTAATTGTTCATCCTAATTGTCCTTGTTTTCATCTAGTCATGGAGATTCAGTAAGTGCCTTGGAACAATATTGAATTCTCTTAGCTCCTGTGTGTTACTTTAATATTTGAACTCAACTGGGATTAGAAGACTATCAGAATATGTGTATGTTTCAGAATACTTGACCTGCCATTAAAAAACAAAAACAATTTTACAGTGCCCACATGTTGTCTTAGTTTTTCATTTTAGGATACTAGACCTTGTCAAGCTTCTTGCTTGCCCAAGCTCATCTTTTAGGTCACAAGTATGAGTGAAATTAATAAACCTGTTAATTAAGAAATCGGAAGCTGGGTAGAATGGTGCACTTCTGAAGTCCCAGCTACTCAGGAGGGGTAGGCAGGAGGATCATTTAAGCCGAGGAGTTGAAAATCAGCCTGGGCAACATAGTGAGATCCCAGCTCTAAAACAAAAGGAAGGAGCAATTCTGCTAAAGGCAAGGCTCTGCCATTTCCAGATACTTAGCCCTGAGTCAGCCCTAGTGTCTTTCTCATCCATGACAGCCTTGCAGGATCCTGGTGGGACAGCAGTTTCTGCCCCATGACTAGTTGGAGCACAGCTTTCATCCGTAAAATCTAAGTGTGAATTTGCATAGCATGGATCAGAATTGATAAATGTGTCTGGTTCCCCTGCGCCCACGAAAGAACTGATGAGACAGAAATGAGGTTCAGTGATTATAGGAGTAGAAGGCAGATTGTTGTAGAGGAGAAAACACTGTAATCTTATGTTAAAAGTTTTCAAAGCCAGATGGTCTTCGTGTTGATTCCTTAACATGTTCCTGCTGGCTTGAATGATCAGGCAGCTTGTAGCAGTGGTGGTACAAATGGAATCACTTTTATTGGTCACGTTACCGATAAAACTAATAAAAAGCCAGCTGATGGGACAGTCATGCATGTACCACCAGTGGTTCAAGCCGTCCAGCAGTGAGAATGTGAATTGTGGACCCCATCATGAACGTGTTAAAATTCAAAAAGTTTCCTAATGTTTTCACTGTAAGAACATGGTAATACTGTGGATGCTTGACATTCACAGGACGTGGCTGTTCTTACAATATACAGTTTTCATCATAAAACTTAAACTGAAGCAAAGTAGAACTGAAAACATTTTATAGCCACTTTACACACTGAATGAGTTATGTAATCTGGCCCTAAAATCATCTGTAAAGATTTGTTTTTGTTGGAAAGAAGTTTCTTACACTATATATTTGGAATATAACATGTCAGATAGGTGAGAAAATCATACTATAAAATCATAAGGCACACATGCTTGTGTGTATGTGATCACCATCAAGAGTAGAACAGTATCAGCCACTTAGAAGCTTTCTTCGTGGACTTTGGAAATTTTCATGTGTGTAGCAGTTGTTCATTGTTACAGAGATTTGCATTTTACACAACATTTTTTTTTAACTATTAATCTTTTATTTTACAAGTGTTTCATGTAAGAGAAGCCACATGGCCAGGTGTAGTGGCACATGCCTGTAATTTCAGCACGAGGAAGGCTGAGGCAAGAGAATTGCCACAAGTTTAAGGTCACCCTGGGCTACATGGTGAGTTCAAGGCCAGCCTGGACCACAGAGCAAGACCCAGTCTCAAAAAAACAAATAAAGCGAACTCAAGTAAAAAAAAAATTAAGCTTCTCTCTCTGATTTATTTAATATGTTCTGAAGGTGCACCCATCTCCCTACAAATCGCTTAAGTTCACCCTTTGTGGCAGAGTAGTAGTCTGTTGTGTGTAAATACTACATTTTCTTTATCCATTCATCTGTACCATGTGAGCCGCTTCCAAGAGTTTGCCGTTAAGAACTGTGCTGCTGTGAAGGAGTGTGCATGTATCCCTGGAATATGTCTAACACTTTCTGGAAGACACCTAGGAGAAATGCTGGGTTGAATGAGATTTCTGGTTTTAGTTTTTGGAGGACTCCATACTGATTTCCATGGAGGTTGTACTAGTTTCCAACAGTGTAGAGCAGTTTACTTTTCCCTGTAACTTTGCCAGCATTTGCTGCCTGATTTCTTGATGCTAACCTTTCTGGAGTAAGAGGGAACCTCAGTCTTGTTTTAATTTGCATTTTTATAACGGCCAGCGGTGTTAAACATTTTTTTCATGTATTTGTTAACCATTTGTATTTCTGAGAAGTACAGATTCATTTCACTTGCCCATTTTTTGATTGGGGCTTTTCTTTGTAGGGCTTCTAATCTGTTGCCTAATGAAGGTGAAGAAATAGGCTTACAGCGTCAAACCCAAACTCCTTAGCAGATCGTGTAATCCGTTTCTCTGCTGGTGACTTCTCTGGCCTGTGCTCTGTTCGTACCTCCTCTCCAGCCACAACGAGCCGCTCAGAGTGCCCTGAGCCCCCGCAGCCCAGCCATCACTTACCTCTGTCGCTGTCCTGGTGAGCCCTGCTCGTCGGTCAAGACCATTCGAGTATTACTTCCTTCATTAAACCCAGCCATCTCATCCTGTTTCCAACCAAGTCTGCTGTCCCCTCTGTCCCGTATTTATCATTGTACAGTAGTTTATTTTCTACTAAACCGGCTTCTGAGAGCAATCACCATGCAGTGTTGCCATTAATCGTGCAGTGAACTGCAAAGTAGGGCAAACTTTAAATATAAGTGTTTTTCTTAAATAGTGTCCTGACAGAGTAGAAACTAAGTGTCTATTGAACAGATGAATCAAAGACCATGTTAAGGTAGCTAGAGCATTTCAGCTTTTTTATTTATATTCCCAGCCACTATTAAGTCCTTTTCTAACTTCATGACTCTTGTCATAAAGCATCTGCAGAGATATACTCGTGGAGTGTTTGTTTATATACCTTTTCCTGGGGCCAGCTCATAAGCAAAAGGTCAGAAATGTCGCCCTCTTACTTACTCCAATGTATCTATGGTTTCCAAACATGATGTTTGACTCTGTTCTGAAAGTGGCTATCCATACAGGAATGTTCTCCATAACTAAGGATTTTGTGAAGGGGAAAGATGAAGAGAATGTGATTTGCAACCTACAGTTCATGAGAGGAATTTCAGTGAATGACACCTTAATTATAGTCAGCCTTAAAATATTTTTGATTGCAGTAGTTTGGTTGAAATACATATTTGGTACTCTTGATCGCAACCTGTGAAATCAGTTTAATTTAAATGCAAGATGAAATTGGGCTAGGTCATTCTGTGCTGGCTTTAGGAAAGTTTGCAGTACCTCTTTAAATAGGTACCCTGATTGCCTGCTTTTAGTGGATATTTTAGATACCAAAAATTTGTATTATAGTCATAGCTTTCTAAACAATGCGACATGACAATTTTACTTTTTACTTTATTCTCTCATGTAGATCTTTATTGCACAGCTTGTTAAGGCTTATATCTAGATATTTCCCGAAGCCTCATGTGCTTCATAAGTGAGGCTTTGGGGAGTAACTGTATTATGGGCTCCCAATGCTAGATCAGTGCATTGACTGGTTTAGCGTAGTTCTGGGTGTGAATGATGGATTTACTGAAGAGGGAAGACCCACCCTGGCTGTGGATGGCACCAATCAATAGGCTTGTAGCCTGGATGGAATACAGAGGGAAAGAAGGAAGTTTCTCTGCTTTGTGCCTTCCATGCCACCCTGTGTTGGAGCCAGCCAACTACGGACTGAAACCTCTACAGACGGTGAGTTAAAATAAACCTTTCCCCCTTTAACTTGTGGGTGCTGGGTATTTTGTTCTCAGCAATGAAAAAGTAACTAAAATATAGCTCAAAATGACTAGAAACTCATTCTGGCAGATGGAGAAACTGCAGAAGCTTTTTTCAAAGATTGGCATAGATCCACCCAGTAAGCAGCCTTTGCAGTTTATGCTACATGTGTAAAGTAGATCTAGTTTTGAGCATAAAGTATGTTTTCTTGACAGGTTTTCTGCAACCTCTTTTCTGTTACTTGTCTCCAGTGTGCATAAATCTTCTAAAGTGTGTAAATGATCAGTATTTGGATTATAAGTGAAGTAACCACTGAAAAACAGTGATGCTTAGGTAGCTCTTAGTGATGATGGGTCTCCATGTTCTAAGTACAACAAATCTGGGCTTTATTCACTTAATGAGGGAAGGAAATTCCAAAGATTCCAATCATTTTACATTTTTTGTACAGAGAACTAGGCATACGTACTGTTACCATGACTTAATCTAACAGCATTTGTGATTTTAGAATTCATGCCAGTATTTGAGAAAGAACATACTCTTTAGCTCCTGTGGATTTCTATTCAAACAGCCAAACATGAAGTAAACAGAAAAATATTCTAAATTTCTCTTTAGAAATTTGTTTTTCTGGAAAATAAGGACCAAAGAAGTCTGTCTTCTTAAAATAATTCTACAGTAGATTAATAGCTTATTAAATATACAAATGTATATATATTTGTGACATTTCAAAGTGTTCTGCCTTATAAATCTTAGTCTGCATATACAATCTGCTAGGATATTTCCAGTATTTTCTTTTTTTCTTTTTTTTGGGGGGGGGGTACCAGAAATTGAACTCAGGACCTTGCACTTGCCAGGCAAGCACTGTGCCCTTGAGCCATATCCCCAGCTATTTCCAGTGTTTTCTAAAACAAAAACGTAGTTTGCTGTTTTGTTGTTTATTTCTTTTTTGCAGTACCAGGGATTGAACTCTCGATCTTGCACTTGCCAGGCAGGCGCTTAAGCCACTGAGCTATATCCCCAGCTTTAGTTTGCTGTTTTAAACATAAAACTTGGTATTTAGTTTTTCTTATTGTATTTGAAATCAGTGTGCAGTAACATTCTGCATGAGCTTCCAGGCAAAAATTTCTAAATGCCAACCTGTGGATACTGCATAGTAAATACTATGTAAAAAATATAATTGCCTGAGATAACATTAGCAAAAAGTTTTTTATTAAAATTCCATAGTTATACTTTCAGTTGTGTCAGAAAAGTAAAATACAGTTTTTAGGGAATTTATTGCTATTCAGAATGACTTAGATCTTTTATATGTCCAGTTGGCCATTTTAATACTAATTTTCCTTCTACTAATATAATTAAATTGAAATTCATAGGTAGAAGTTTTACATTGAGGCCTTATTTTTATTTATATTTACTTAAGCTTAAGACCAAACGGTGTAAAAGGTTCGTCTCAGAATTTGAAATATTTGATTAGTAGCCGGGTACTGCCAGTATTTTAAGCGGTT